AGTATGGATTTCTTCGAAAGCATCTAAAAAGGGCACCTCGAATACCCTTCACAGCTCACCCTTGAAACTACGAATGAGTATCACAAACGAGTACAGCTGTCTAGAATACCAGTCTTCTAAATATCAAGAGCCTTGTTACTACATATCGCTTATTTGTTGAGAATCTAACGAGGTTTGTATTGTACTATTGCCAACACACTGGGGCACACTAATGAGTTAACTCTAAATCTCAATGTAAGTCCAATTGCACACCTCACAACGGCAGTTTCATTTAAATATTACTAAGGAACATAGAACCAGAGAAATTGGTAGTGAATCGGCCCAATCATAAAGGTGAAGAAAATGTGCAAGGACTGTCAGCAGACGCTTCATCCCGATGGATATGCTGGCGCTATCGATGAGTGTCGTAAAACAAAGGACTGGACAAGACAGAAGCCGTTGAGCTTTCGATCCATACGACAACGTATAGGCAGTGATCTGGCTGGAGATTTAGTCGCATGGCAACGAACCACCCGGAAACTAATATCGCATGGAGTGTTGGCGATGTTCCGCTCGGATACAATGACAGAGACAAATGTGGCCATGATACCGCTGATGTACCATCCCGACAGCAAGGCCAAGTTCAAAATCCTCCCTGGCCGCGGGCCCGTGTTTGTGGGAGACCTATCCAGGGAGGAGAGGATGGATTTCGAGTTGAAGAAACTTCAGAGCAATACCAAGTCTAGGGCTGTGATCGTGATACAGTTTCACTTGATTGATAGCATTAGCCACCACAAGATAGCTCGGGTGCCCTGCGGTGAAGTGGTGGTGGAGAGGCAGTTGTTCAGTCACGCTTACCAGGCTTTGAATTCGATGGGCGGATCCTTCGAAGATATGGTCGAACGACTGAATGCAGATACATTCTGGGGACGCCAAAGCTCCCGGAAAACATCGCTAACGGCCAGTAGTAGATTCGCCATACACTAGATCGATTCCACACCAAACACAGAGCTTACAAGATGTGTTATAGATACACACATGAACTATATCATCAGTATGTACATCATGATGTACATCATGAACATAAGTATGTAGTGCCTGTGTAGAGCTTGATGCTACATAACGAGGTGGAGATAGTAGGAAAGACAGAGCATTCGAAAGATATTAAGAAGATAATACATCAGTAATGCTCTGAACAAAAACAAAATGCTGATACATACATACGCTAAGGTATAGAGACGAACATGTATGAAAGAGAGTATAATTTTATGGACGATATGCACTTCATCATCCAGTCGATGCTAACACAAGCAATCTCGCTTTATTCGTGAAAGGCAGTTTAGTCACAGATAGAGGCAGAAACAGATACACAAACCTTACAATGTGCATCGAATAATCACCGAGATCGCTACCGAAGGTAGAGTGTCTATTCGCTATACTATGTAGGTATATTCGATTTAATGGCTTTTACAGGCACTAACTATGTTTAAACGGTCGCGAAGTTACACCGGGTTAGATATGTTAGGACTACAAACTTATACCGTTCGTTGAAGTGTACAGGTCCGAATTATATATATATACAAATGAATATACATATATATAT